GATTCGAACGAAAAAGGGCTGAATGACGCATCATTAACTTCAACTCAACGGGTTCGAGTCCTACGCAGCGCTCATTCCCGTAGCCGAGATTGATGATTGGTCGGATCATGGTGATCAATCTCACTCGGACTCGCTTCTCGCACTTTGACTTTTTAGCGTGCGTGGTTCTCCCGCGCTATCTTTATCTTTGGGGCTGTGATGTGATAGGCTGATCTACCCCGTTGAATCATTCCTTTGGATTTGATCCTTGTAGGGAATTATTATTTGTTTTTGATGCTGTTTCAGCTGTAAGCGTCAGAGGACATTGTCACAAAAAGATGCTGAATGAGGACATATTAATTCATTTTTCTCCAAGTCCTAGAGATCTTGAGTATTTTTGTGTAAGCCAATATACAGTTCGTATATTCTTACAGACCTTGATAGACGCCCAAGGTACCGGCAATACCATCCAGAGCGTGGATCTACATGCGGCTTTGTTAATGCTGACACTGCCCCGTTTTCGAGGCTGATGCTATGCTAGGTATCCCATCCACTAAAGATGCCCATGATCCTTCGTCTTATTGGTCTCAATGATCGACATTCGCATCGGGTGCTCTTCGCGCTAAAAAGAGCGAGAGCGACAGCAAAGCCTACATACCCGCTGCCCACTAAGATATGCTTGCTTAGCAGATGAGCCTCCTTGTGTTTTAGTGTCAGACTAGCAAATGCACTGCATTCATTGCTACTCCGTGTCTGCTGCAGTTTGAGAGTCCGAGTCCGACTTTATCGCTGTCATCATAGCCATTCTCACATATCAATCTGCATGTTTCTGCAGCTCTCATCATGTCTATATCAATGGCCCATCCTCCCCTCCAACAACATCCTTTTCTCACCATCATTCACACACACCTCAGCATCTACATTCCTACAATCTCATCTGCTGTAATCCACAAACAAAGCCTATTAGCAACACATAAATAAGCTTACTTTTATACGGTCGAGAACAAATACAAATACACCACTCGATTCTCCTTTACCATCACGACTTACACGCTTATATCGACTTACAAAACAACACACATCAACCAACAACATGCCTTACAATTACACCATCCGACCCGAAGATGCCTTCGGCTCCGATTCGCCCTGCAACTTGGATACTTGCCCCGTTGAGTGGAGTATCTACAGCTACCGACCATCTCTTGCTGCCAACATTGTCTTCGTCGTTCTCTTCAGTCTCATTGGTCTTGTCCACGCATATCTTGGCTTCCGATGGAAGAGTTGGGGTTTCATGACTGGCATGCTTCTTGGCTGTGTCTCTGAGATTGTTGGCTATGTCGGCCGTATCATGATGTGGTACAACCCCTTCTCCTTCAACGCTTTCATGATCCAAATTGGTAAGTCTCTATCCTTCTCATCCAACTTTATAACCACAATCTAACATTCTGTCTTAGTCTGCCTCACGATCGCTCCCGTCTTCTATACCGCATCCATCTATGTCACCCTCTCCAAGACAATCAACTTCTTCGGCCCCGAGCTCTCTCGCTTTAGACCCGCATTGTTCTACTGGATCTTTATCCCCTTCGATATCGTCTGCCTCATCCTCCAGGCTGCTGGCGGTGCCATGTCTACAGAGTCTGATAGCAATGTTGGTGTTGATGTCTCTATGGCCGGTCTTGTCCTCCAGGTTGTCGTCCTTGTCGTCTTCATCGCTGCCTTCTCTGACTACATGATTCGATACTGGCGATCTGGTCATGCCAAGGCCTTCGGCTGGCGTGAGACTGCCTTCTTTGCTGGTCTCTCTAGTGCCATCATCCTTGTCCTCACTCGATGCATCTACCGTGTTGCTGAGCTCCGTGAGGGTTATGATGGTGATCTGATCAAGCACGAGACCCCTTTTATCATCCTTGAGGGCATTGTCATCGTTCTTGCTGCTGTTGCCCTCTGCTTCGGTCACCCCGGCCTTGTCTTCAACAAGCCTCAAGTCACCACTTCTGTCTCTCAGGTTGAGAAGGGTGTTGTTTCCGGCTCTGAAAGCAACAACTAAGCATTCAGCCACTCTTGTTTTCCAAAAGCTAGGGTGTCTGGTCTATGATTGTCGAAGATGTTTTCTTTTGTTCAGCGGATAGCGATGTGGATGTCACTTTTGATTTTGATTCCCTTTTGCTTGTGTTTGGGCTTGATAGAATAGGAATATTGGATACCTTGTAGCTCTGGCGATATGAGGACTTGCCATCGAGCTTTAGATGAGTTATTGAACGATTTCGGAATGGGATAGATGGATGGTATATGCCATATGATTGGACATTTAGGAATAGAAACCCTTTTAACAGACCTGTGTTTTCCATCAATTCGCCACCCGGGATGTGAATAAGTGCAGCTCTACTTCTCATTCCTTCTTGATGATATATCTTGATTGGTTGTCTGAAAGTGCAACTTCTGGTGAAATGTCAACCAATTGGCTTGGATGCCACGAGCCGGGATAGCGAATGGTATTGGAACATGTTGGACACACAGCGCAGCCTGCATTTGAGATTGACCAATGATGGTGAGCTACAGTTACTTACATATCAGGCTGTGCAGACTTGCATATTTTCTTATACACTTTTAGCAAGAACACCAAGTTTGAGTATCATGATAATGATAATTAACATCTTCGTGCCTCATTCACTCACTTGGTTCCGCAATAGGAAGCTCATGCTATGGATGATAAGATAAGCCCCACTACTAACGGCATCAGGTGCAGATTGAATGCAGATGACGACCAACCAAAGCAAACACCACATGACCACTCACTCACTCACTCACTAAAAGGACGTCCATCGTTGATCTCTCTACTTATTTAACTTTGCCTTAATTAGTCACCGCTTTCTCGACCGCTTCACCATCTCGTCAACAGATGCTCGCTCTCTTTCGCATCTCTTCACGTCGAGCATCGTCCATCAGAACCTCAATTGATACTACCCCGCGTCTATTCGCAGCTTCATTCTCGACTTCATCTTCCATCATGGCACCTCCTCAAGAAGCTCTCGACTTTATTGAGTTTGTCAATGAGTCGCCAACTCGTCTGTTACCCCAATGTCACTACAATATTAGTACCTGCTAACACTCTACAGCTTATCATGCCGTTCAGTCTGCCTCGGCTCGCTTCGAAAAGGCCGGTTTCAAGCTGATCCGTGAGCGCGACTCTTGGGCTTCCACCCTCCGACCTGGCGGCAAATACTACCTCACCCGCAATGCTTCGACTATCGTAGCCTTCACTATCGGTCGAAAGTGGCGCCCTGGAAACCCTGTCGCCATCATTGGAGCCCATACCGACTCTCCCTGCCTCCGACTGAAGCCCGTGTCCAAGAAGAGCAACGTCGGTTACCTCCAGATTGGCGTTGAGACATATGGCGGTGGTATCTGGACCTCGTGGTTCGACCGTGACTTGAGCATTGCCGGCCGTGTCCTGGTCAAGGAGGGCGACAACTTTGTTTCAAAGCTCGTCAAGGTTGACAAACCTTTGGTCAGAATTCCAACCCTCGCCATTCACCTCCACCGACAGAGCAACTTCGACCCCAACAAGGAGACCGAGCTTTTCCCCATTGCAGGACTTGTTGCAGCTGAGCTGAACAAGGGAACAAAGGATGAGAAGCCCGAGGAGAAGAAGGATGACAATGAGGAAGATGAGGAGTTTAGGCCACTCAAGGTCATCACTGAGAGACACCACCCTCAGGTCCTTGACGTTATTGCAGCTGAGGCAGGAGTCGAGGTCTCTGCGATTGTAGACTTTGAGCTGATTCTCTACGATACTCAAAAGTCATGCATTGGTGGCCTTAGCGACGAGTTTATCTTTTCTCCTCGTCTCGATAACCTTGGCATGACATACTGCTCAGTGGAGGGTCTTATCGAGTCCGTCAAGGATGAGTCCTCGCTCGAGGAAGATAGCACTATTCGATTGATCGTTTGCTTTGATCACGAAGAGATTGGCTCGACCTCAGCACAGGGTGCCAACTCCAACCTGTTGCCATCGGTCATCCGCCGTCTGTCTGTTCTTCCTGGAAAGGACACTGCCAGTGAAGGTAGCTATGAGGCTGTCCACCACGATAACGAGGAGGCTACAGCATACGAGCAGACTCTATCACGATCTTTCCTCGTATCTGCTGATATGGCCCACTCTGTGCATCCCAACTATGCTGGCAAATACGAGTCTTCGCATCAGCCAGCCATGAACGGCGGAACTGTTATCAAGATCAACGCCAACCAGCGCTACGCTACCAACTCCCCAGGAATAGTGCTCCTTCAGGAGTGTGCTCGTGCAGCTGGCGTTCCTCTTCAGCTCTTTGTCGTCCGCAACGATTCGCCCTGCGGCAGCACCATCGGACCCGGTCTCGCTGCCGCCCTTGGCATGAGGACTCTGGATCTCGGAAACCCACAGCTCAGCATGCACAGCATTCGTGAGACGGGAGGTACTGCCGATGTCGCCTACGGCATCAAGCTGTTTAAGGGATTCTTTGAAAACTATGGATCCCTTGAGCCCAAGATTCTCATCGATTAAGCATTAGAAGTGGAGCATCATCATATGACGTCGGGTGTCATTGGAGTTGGGTGTAGAAGCGAGCAGTGGATGAATGAATGATTGAATACTGGGCAACATCACAGCCATGGGTTGGACGTAGTCTCACTTGTATATAGCTTGATAGATGAATGAGCAATGTCACTTTATCATTGAAACTGGGCTTGGGATTTGTCCTTGTGAAAGACCATATCCAGACATTGCAACCTCAGTTCGTACAATGTAACTCCTCTATAACGCCTTGGGATATCTCTGATGAATCTTATCCAGATGAGAACACACTTATGTCTCATTACCGCCCATGATCGTCAAATCAAATAATGCTTTCCCAAGCAAATGCCTTTCCATCGTACATATCTCGCTTCACATGCCCGCCATGCCCCGCTCATAAAAAGTAAGAAAGCCATCAAGAACTCCCCAACACCATCATATCTTTCCCTTTTTTATATACCCTGACATCTCATCAACTTTGCTCCTCGTCTTCCTCCTCCATGATCTCCGTCTGCTGTGAATCTATCGAGTCTCTTCGCGATCTTGTCTCTGACTCTTCCTCTGGCTTGGACTCGCTGGTGGACTCGGGGCTTTGTACGCGGACGACGCGTGGTGACTCGCGGGGTAACGGTCGTTGTTGTAGTTCGGAGAGGGGCACGGTCGTTTGGCCTGTGCGGACTTTGTAGTTTGCGAGGGACAGACGGAGACGAAGTGTTTCTGCTCTCTGTAGGATATTAGCATATATATGTAAGTGGAGAGGGTGTAAAAACTGACTTGTCTTATTTGTTGGCGTGTAAGTGTTGCAGTCTGCTGTGTAGGTTGTACTGTTGTAGGAACTGCAGCTGTATCATGTTCGGTTGCAGCAGTGGCCCATGAATTATCGTTGGCAGACGTGTCGAAGACAGAGCTAACATCAGGACTGGCACTCCTCTCAGACGCGTCCTACACAATCAATGTTAGATATATGTTCATATCCCATCATGATATCTTATAAGTAATATAGCATACCTCATCACGTCCCAGACACGCCTTCTTAGCAGCAGGCGCGCTACCTTCGATATCGAGCAACCTCTTGCGCCCCTCGATAGCCATCTTTACAGGACTGTGACCCAATGCAGGCTTGAACAAGTTCTTTGGTGCAGCAAGCGCGTTAGAATCCAAGGGAGCGAGGGCGCGTCGCTTCGTAGGTGATGATGTAGAGGATGATGTAGCTGATTGCTCCATTGCAAGCTAAAGCACTGCTTATGTATACACGAGAGAGGGAGAAACGAAAGTATGAGCAGGATAGAGCCTCAAGTTTGTGTGATTTAGTCGCGTGTCAATGCGTGTTAATGGGAGGACGTTGAGATGGGAAATGGTAAGGTAAAGCCAAGTAAAGTGGTGGTTTTGTTAAAGGGACGCGGACGATAAGATAAGGTGGGGTGGCTTTTTTGGATTGGAGAAAACGGAAAACGGAAAATGAATGGGATGGGATGGGATAGTTTGGTCTAGATGGCGTCGTTCCTAGTCAACGAAACACGACAACAGTAAATATTATGCAAGGAGATCAACACTTTGAAACATACTATTGTTCTTCAATTCTTGATATTCAATTATCGACATCAATGTCTCTCTTTCTCCCTCAACCTACTGACACTCATTCATATATCATCCCCCACTAGCAGAAACAAACCCCAGAAGGTGTAGCATTATATGGATGCCCATCGTTTAATTGACCTCACCCGCCGTCACGTCTGTAACCCCAAACCAGCCTCTTACGCCCGACACGGTCGCGCTTTATATCCTTGTCTCAAATCTCGGCCAACCTCGCCCATATTTACTTACTTCCCGAAGCGGTCTAGCGTCACTTACATAATCTTCCCCAGCCGTCAACACTGCAGATTCGCGTGCCGTGTCGGAGGGTCCATCGCTCTATGCCAAAGACGGCCTAGCGCTTGTGCCTCCGGACACGGGAGGCGCGTGCCTTGTGGGGCATGATTCCCGGTGCGGCCCGGATGCAGGAACGGGTGTTGTTGGCCGGACCTTAAGTCAATCTTGACCAACATAACACAGGCGAATATATGCTCATATAACACTCACTCACTCACTCACTCACTCACTCACTCATACGAGAACTGCCAAGTAGCAAAATGCTGGGTATCATTTGCTCAGAGTCCATGTCTATGAATCTCATAAGCCCTAGCCACTAATTCCGACTTTGCAAAAAAAGAAGCATCTGATAGCTTCAACTAGAAACACTAAAACAACCACAACGCGCTTCGAATAACATCATAAATCAAAGCATCATGCATTAACAAACAAAGCCTCCTACCAGTCGAACTCCTGTGTATCCTCTGCCAAAGCCAAATCACACCCTGCCTTTCGTCCTAGGTCCAGAACAAAGCGCCCTCCATGATGCTTCCAGCCGCGTCCACCTTTTACTGCCGTCACCTGGCTTCGATCCGCATCCCTAAAGTGTTATCCAATAACAAAATGCAATTAACAAAAACTACCACGGGTCGTGGTGACAAAACAGAAACAAAACCTCATGTGTGGGGTATATCTCCCGGACCTCAAAGCCCTAATTACCGGCCGATTTGTGGTGGCTAGGTAATCAATTCGTCTGTAGTATAAAACCGTTCAACGGCTGCGATTATTATGAGGTTGCCATATAGTAATGTTGGCTAGTGTCGAATTGGAAAGGTTTCGAAAAGTCCATCTTCACATCTTCCCAGTCCGGTTCTTGCAACGATGGCGGGTCGAATAACGCTGAAGGGTCAATACCCATTACGCCGCTTGCGTCCAAAGTGTTGGTCATGTTCAGAAGCAGATCTGTATCCATGTTATGCCAATCCGCATTCATGTCGATGGCTGCACCTTCTGGAAGATCGCTATTAGGCTCGCTGCTGCCATTATCCTTGACCGAGTCAGGTGTGTCTCTGGGTGTCAAGTAGCTAAGAGCGTTGAGGTCATAGTAGGGGTTATCGTAAAATCCGTACCCGCGCTCAACTCCAAGGTTGCTCACCAGCATCTCAGTGTCGATAGTCGCGTTGGCCCAAGGATCAACTGCTGTCGATTCAACCGGCTTGATATCCGTCATCTTGGGGGTTGTACCAGCTTTGAGGCCGGCCTTGTCTTGAGGTTTACCCATGCTGCTGGCTGATCGCTTCATGCCGGCATCTGTAATAGACACAGGTGTTGCCGCCATAGTGACAGGTGTCTGGCCTTGCTTGGAGTTGGTCAAGCTCATTGCAGCAGCTTCAGTACCTGGTTCCCGCTTGATAGTGCCATCGGGCTCGAGTCCAAGGGCCAAGGCCAGGTTCTCCTGGGCAAACTTGAGAGGATCTTCTCGAGGCTTCGTGTGCTCCTCGTAGACATGCTGTTGAAGAGCTTGCTCAGTGCTGTAACCAGTGGTTGAAAACTCGCACTCGGGTTCCTTGCAAAGAAAGACTGGCTTAGGTGGCAACTGTGTTTCGGACGTCCTTCGAAGCTCAGGGGATCCTTTCTTGCTAATTTTAGGCGAAGGGGTAGCGCCCTGGGGAGTCTGTCCAGTCTTTTGCTTCTTGCGTCCTGTGGGTAGCTGCAGGTTGAGCTCCTTTGACGGTTGGACATAAGTTGGGTTGCCATGAGGAGGCAACTGGAAGGGGGGCCGAGCGCTTGTAGGAGCTTCTGGGGCCCGCGAACCCTTGTTGCCTCCCTTGGGAGTAGTATTCTGAGCTTGAGAGTTACGACGACCGCTTTCGGCGTTGGCGGGAGCTGCTTGTCCTCCTGGAGGTTGCGTTGGCTGGTCAGGTTGGGGCTGAGACTGCTGCTGTTGAGAGAATGGTTGTTGTTGTTGAGCAGCCTGAGCATTCTGGTTTTGGGGTGTGGTTTGTCTGTTAGCAGGATTTAGGCCTCTAGCATACACGCTCGCCGCGAGATCCTTCGCCATGCTCTCCAGCATATTTCGAGCCTGATCGATTTCCACGGCTCGCATCGTGAACACGTTTTTAGGCACGGACATCTTCTCGCCATCAGAGAACTGCTTGAGAATCCTCCATCGCTGTTCTCAGTTAGTGCATGCCATCCATGATACAGCTGGACGTAGACTTACAGTTCGGAAGAACATCTTTGCTCTTTGGTCATCACGCGTGAGACCATACCATCTGCTCAAACCACGGCCGATCTTGCTCATATCAACCACAATTTTCTTGAGCTTCTCAGCTGTCTCCTGGTATTCCTGCTGTGACATCGGAATTTCAGGATCGTTCTCTTTCACAGATTGTCGTTGCTCCTCTTGTCCGAGTAACTTAAGACGCGACAGTATCTCGCTTCCACCTTGAGGAGGGATCTGGCCTGCCTTGTTCATCTGTGCCCTCATCATCGCTTCGTATTTGGCTCGCTGCTCTGGTGTGAGCTGTGCAATTTGCTGAGGAGTCAACATTCTTGGGCCTTGTGCCTGCTGTGGCTGGTTGGACTGTGGCGCTGGTCTCGCGGGCGCTGCCTTTGCGGTTTCGGGTACATCGATGGCATCGTCGCTGCTCGGGCGTTTGAGATTCTTCGGGGCGGATGCTGGCGATGGGTTTGGAGGCTGTGCTCGGTTGTTGGCAGGCTGCGGGCGAGCATTTCGTGCTTGCTCTGGAGTCACGCTTGGTTGTTTCTGGGCCGCTTGTTGAGCAGTATTATTCGGTCCCATGTTGTTGGCTCCTGAAATGTTCTGGGCCTGCGGTGCTTGGTTTGGCTGGGGTGGTTGTTGAAGCTGCATTTGTGTTGGGGGAACACCCATCTGTGTCTGCATACCTTGCTGGCCTTGACCATTACGAGCTTGCACCATCTGAGCCTGGGCTTGTTGATTTCGCATTTGCTGTGCCTGCTGGCTCGCCCAGGAACTCCTCTTCATCTGGAGAATCGCATTGCGTAATTGTTCTTCAGACGCTTGAGCGAACTGAGGTCTATTCCGAAGTGTGGCTATTTCGTGCGGAGAAACCTGCAGGATGTGTGCTGGTATGTTGACAGGCATCTGTGGTCGTCCTGCTTGGAGAGGGTTGGGTCCAGGCCCACCTGGCGCTTGCATGCCAGGGTTGACATTGTTTTGTCCTGGCTGCTGCGGTTGACCTTGCTGTTGAGGTGAAAGCTGCTGTCCTGGCTGGCCCGGTTGCTGTTGTTGCATAGCGCGTCGCTGAAGGGCTATTTGGAACTGCCTTTGCTGAACGGTTACCAGTTGCGTCCGTAGTTGCTGAGCAATGTTGTTTTGCTGAAGCCACATCTTGAGCTGTGCCCATTTCTTGACCTCTGGGGGGATCTGATTCTGGAGCTGACTGAGGACTTGAGGAGGTAAATCCATAGAGTCCATCATAGCCAGCTGCTGGTTCGCGGCCATCCGAGGCATCTGAATTTGCTGCGGGTTGCCATTCATAGGCATTCCATTTTGCTGCTGCTGCATGTTGACTGACATTTGTCCAGCGCCGTTAGGGTTCATCTGGCTCATTTGGCTTGGAGGTCGGTTCCCCATTTGCCCTGGAGGAAGTTGTCCACCATTATTTAGGCCCATTTGCTCATTGCGCTTTGACTGCCAACGCTGCATCACCTCATTCAACTTATCCGGAGTCAGACCGCTCACAATCTGCCGTTGCTCTTGCGGTAGACTTGCCAGCATGTTCTGGAAAGTCTGGTTGTTAGGCCGTTGTGCTCCTTGGTTGAACCGCTGGTCCCCGAACTGAACACCGCCCTGTCCAGCACCCTGGTTCATGTTGCCAGGCCGAGAAACAGGTGTGTTGAGAGTGTTCATTGCAGGACTTTGGGAAGGCTGCATGTTGGCAGCCATGCCGGCCTGGTTTTGCATCTGCTTCATCTGCTGTGCCTGCAGCTGTGCCTGTGACTGCTGCGAGACTTGGTTCGACATCTTCATTTGCTGAAGATTCATGTTCTGCTGCTGTTGTTGCGGCGGTCGCTGGCCTTGATTAGGACCTTGCTGGTTGGGTGCGTTCTGGCCCATCGGCGGTTGGGGCGTCGCATTTCGATTCGGTCCGGCGCTGGCAGGTACTACCATCTGACCGGCTTGCTGAGCCATCAAACCATTCATCTGCTGTTTCTCGATGCTATCCATGTTGGGTGCAAAAGAGTTATAGTCGTTGTTGCCCTGGTTGCCATTCATCATACCATGCTGCTGCTGTCCTTGTTGAGGCATCTGACCCTGCTGCTGGCGAAGTCCTTGCTGACTTGCCTGCTGTTGCATCATGGGAGCTTGATTATTGTTGGGATTCTGT